TGCAGGCTGGGGGGCTGTGCCAGGCTCTTCCCGGGGGGGCTGAGCCCCCGCATCTGCGTGTGGGATGATAGCAGGCTGCTGCTGCAGGCTGGGGCTGGCAGCGCCACTGGGCTCTCCCCAGCTCTTGGTGGCAGGTTGTGGGGGCTACAGCAAATTTTGGGGTGGCAGCAGACCCCCTCCCAGCACTGCTGCCTCATTCCTGCCAGCAAGGCTGGGGCTGGTGGTGGCATCAGGCTCTTCCCCATGCTCCAGGAGGGTGGAGCTGGCATGCACTGGCAGGGGGGCTGCTGCCACCCCAAAATTCACTGTATCAGCTGGTGGCCCAGTGGCACTGCCAGCCCCAGCCTGCAGTGGCAGCCTGCTGTTGTCCCATGCACAGATCTGGGGGCCCATGCCCCTCTGGGAAGAGCCCGGAGCAGCCCCCCAGCCCACAGCCCTCCCAGGGGGCATGTAGCAGCAAGAGCTGTGCTCCCCCATCCCAGGCCCCGCACCCACTCACAGTTCTTGCTGCCTCGCTGCCTGCTGCAGCCCAGGGCCTCTGCTTCTCCCTGCTCATCCCAGTCCCTGCTGCAGTGGCTGCAGGAGCAGCTGACCCCAACTGCCTGTCGCCACTGGGCTGCACTGTGCACCGAACCTCCCTTGGCTCCACTTCTCCCCACTTGCCCCAGCTGCTGCAGCAGACGTGGGTGCAGCCAACATCACCTGCCTGCACCATGGCATGGCACAGCCTATGGGCTGGGGTGAATGGGGACAAGTGAGCCCCAATTGTATAGGAGTGAATTTACCTTGCATATAAGGAATTTTGGGTAGAAAAAGGGTGATCACATAAGAGTGAATTCTCATATATAGAACCTGCATAAATCGAGGGAAACCTGTAGTAAATTCTGTTGGCACTGTTTCTATTCAATTCTAGGTTATATGGTGTTATAAAAATGTGTAAAGACAGATTCTAAAGCAGAGCTACTAAATATTGACAACTACCACTCCAGTGTCCTGGTGGAGAATTCATCATTACATATTCATCATATATTGTATTTGGTTTTCATATAGTAGCGCTTTTGAAAAGAGATACTTGACATATGCCTACATAAAGCATTCTTACTACACCTTTTTTTCTTGAATCCTTTATAAAATATTCAGATATTAGCAGCCAAAAATGAGACATTTTCAGTAGGAAGTGTGTGAGAAGAACATTAGAGGATGTATATTAATGATAATATAAATACTGACTAATATTATTCAGTTCAAAATATACTGAAAGGAACATCAAAGAAGGGAAAGAAAAGAGAAAATGGAAGTGACGTAAAGTTACTTGACTTTAAATGGGGCCTGTGTAATTGTCCAAATGTATAAAATGAAATAAAAAAGATATAGAAATGACACAGAAAAAGAAATAGGAATGATAAAGTACTCATGTTTGGTGGCATGTCCTAATTGGCAGTTAAACATTGAATATTTGTGCTGTCGAAATACAATGGAAAAGTTAGACACATTGGTAACTTAGAGAAGATAGAAAAGACAGCTGATTGAAGAGGAAGCGGAAGATACTTAGTACATGGTAGAACACATTCTGTATCTCCCACAACTGGTCTGTAACGTTCCTGCTTTCCTTCCCCCACCTGTACAAGGAGCTAGTAATATTTATCTATCTATCTCCCGGGGCGCTGCAGCGCTAAATTCCTTACTGTTTGTAAAGAACTTTAATGTCTTGGGGTGAAGGAAACTGTAAAACTGTAAAGTATTGTTTTTCCTTTGGAGAAAAGGGGTAAATGATTTAAAAGCATTTAAGTCCTAAATTCCCTTTTCAGAAGTGCCTGAGACAACATCTGTATGGCTTCTGGAATGAGCCTGGGACCGCTGCAAGAAGCACGCCCCACACACTAGCGCTGTGTCCATGGCTTGAGGACAGGATTGAGTGGCTCTGAATGGTCCTGAGTATGCACCCCAAGCTCCCTGTGTCTGGAGAGCCTGAGCATGGGCTGGGACAGGGGTGGCCATGCAGTGGCATGAGTGCCACAAGTGGCATGGGCAGACAAGGTTCTTTGCGTGAATCTGATATCTTTTATCAGACCAACTTAAATAGTTGGAAAAAAAATTTTAAGCAAGCTTTTGAGTTCAAAGACCCTTCGTCATGCCGAGGAAGTTTCAGCCTATGTGGCATTGACAGCCTGTGTACGTGGTATGCGGCAGATCAGGGAGAGGAGAGACAGCAGATAGGGCAGGAAGCATAAAACAAGGCATGAAATCAGGTGGAGAGCACAGGGTAGGAAGCAGAAAACAGAACAGCAGATTGGGCAAAGGAAAGGGATCAGGAGCACGTGGGGAGGGTGCAGGGCTAACTTATGGCACATAAGGGTTGGTTCCTGCTGGGCTGGGATATGAGCTAATGGCTGCTTTGAGCCACTCAGTGGGCTCAGGCACACCTGGAGTATGCACAAGTGAGTAGGGCTTCTTTCTTGGGGTTTGTTTGAGGTCATACAGATCAAGCTGCAGACATGGCTAAGCCTAAGTTTGAAAAAGGCATTTGTCTTCTTAGAAAAGTTCACTTTCTGTTATCTTCACTTGCTGTACTCAAAGTTTTAGAATGGTCTGCATTAAAAAGACTTTGACTTGTATTTATAAATATCAGTCACACGGTCATTGTGGGGCCTTGCAGAACTTGGTTTGAATAGTGCTTTCCTGTTATCTGCTGAAGAGGTCCATTTTTCTCCTTCATATTTCACTCAATTCCCCATGAGAAAAGAGATTGAAATCAATACATGTGTCATTACAATGTACACTTGTGAGCCAGGATCTGCTATATTGTTGAGTTAGTCCTTCTGCAAGAAGGGTTCACTTAGCCACAGTACTCTCCTATAGATTTTTTTGCATTCAGATATTGCTGGAATCTTCTCTCTGTACAGGGATAGGATATAATCTAAGTGTAAGGTTCTTTCTTTCTACTGTGTCTGTGTCAAACTCATCCCCAGTGCTTTAATGTTAGGGAGATACACTAGGGATAGGTTTGAATTGCCATATCTGTCACTCTGGCTAGTAAAGCTGTGTTTTGCCAGACATCTATTTATGATGTGTTATAATTCCAGGACTCAGGGAATGATATAAAATATTTTCAGGCTCAGATGGTAGGTGATGGAAAAAACTGATGGAAAAAACTATTGGTTTCATTTTCTGAAGTTTTCAAGAGGTCTGGCAGCATTTTGCTGCCAATCATTCTATAGCAGCATTGCTAAAAAAGGAGTTCTGGGTTCCTCTTTAGCTCATTTGATGGAAAAAAGCTGCAGAGTAAGTTGGATTTGCTAACCACAAATATGAGGATGGGCCTACAATTTAAAGTGACCATAGCCTGGGCCTCACAAGCATAATCTTACCCACATATTTAAGGTGTAAAATACAATGAAGACTGAGGGGGTTTCTATTTCATGCCAGTAAAGAAGATGAAATGCATAAGGCTGCTAGTGAGACTGAAGTTGATTTCCTTACATGGGTCATAATAACAAAAGGTTAATCTCCCGGCTGGGCTTGGTATTGATTGGCTCAGTAACTAGTATTTCAGTACCATTCCTTTTGTGTGTGTGTGTGTGTGTGTGTGTGTGTGTGTGCACGCATGTACACAGACTGTATTTGTTGGATTAAGATATTAATGTTCTGAGTCTCTTTAATTCTGCATCCTAGATACTGTGTTGGCACTGATGACCCAGACACCTTGTTCTGGGCAAACTCAAACCCTCAGACTGACCATGACCTCTCCATTCGATAAGCAACTTTTATTGGTACACAGTGATAGCAGATAAGAATAATGCAAACAATTCTATACCAGTCCTAGAGCTGTCACAGAGGGAAGGTACATCTAGCCAGTACACTAGCTTCACCCTGAGGTTCTTTCTTGGATGTCAGGTGTCAGCAGCCTGGAGGTTGAAGGCTGAGGCCCACCTTCACCCAGTGGGGTGGGTGAGATGGGCTGGTGGTATGGCCTTGGGTTCCCTTCTTGGGGACCCTTTGCTGCTTTGAAATCCCTCCTTTTGCATTCTTTTCCTCCTCTGATGACTCTTCTGGGCATTATTGATTGGTTTCCCTGCAGTTGTCATACTGTCAGTGTATTCCTTTATTTCACAAACCCATCACATGCACACACATCTTAACTTGGTTATTTACCGGGATTCTTAATTTGGTCTGTTCATCAAAACAGGAAATCCCAAGGGTCCTGCAGTTGGGCATTGTGACCCTGGGGCCAATGCTGCAGAGTCCCTTATCTCTGTTATGGAACAGTGTGGTACATGTCTTCAATTTTTCAGCCTGTATGTCTTCTGGCTTCAGACAGTGGGCCTTGAAAGAAACTTTGTCACAAACAGGCTTTTAGAAACCAATTAACCCTTGCTGTTCCCCTGGACCAGTGTTCTAATACAATATCTACTTCATGTACAAGCCAATTCCCAAAAGCAAATCTTTCAATAGAATTTTCTAGAATTGGCCAGTCCAAAATGAGGAGTCAAAGCTTCAGATTACAAGAGTTACAATTCTTTGTTTTGGGTCCCAAGTCCCCATCCAGAGACTTTAATAAGTAAGAGGTGGATCGAGCCCTACATTTTCCTCCTCCATCTACAGCATAGGAAGTAGAACAGTTCTCACATGTAATACAGAGATTCATAATTTAGCATGTAGCATATGAAGTTCTAAAGCCTTCAACCCCCTGTGCATTTTATGAAGCCAACACTGTTAGGTACCAAAAACAACAGCTGAAGTAGTGTTGTCTGTGTAATGTCTTCTCTCATGCCTGGCTACCACCATAACTCTACTTTGCTCCTCCCAACTCTTTGGCTATCAGGGGCTATTTATAGTTTGGTGATAGGTTAATTTTTTTTTCTGATTACAGAAGAGGCAGGGAATACTTTGAAATGGTGCAGAATGACTGTATTAGGAGAGAAGGTGTGGTCAAGACTGAAACACTAACTGTAAGAGCACTTGTAGAATTCTAAGTACAAATCACTGATGCTAGCAACAGCCTTTCTTCCTGCTTTTGAGCTGAGCCCAACCACAGACAAACCGTGGAAATGGAAATGGGAACATACAGATGCAATGCTTTTTCTTTTTCAAATATTTGACCTGATAAGCAAAGCTGCTCCACTGGGAGGATTAAAGCACAACAAATGGATTTCTGCTTGGGAAAGTGATGGGTAAAACAACATGCTAGAAGGTGAGCCAGTTTAAAAGGACCCTTATAAGCATTATATATAAGACTGTCTTATTATGTGCATACTTTGAACAGATTCAGTTTTGATTTCTTCTCTGGAGGTTGAGGCTGAATCAGACTTAGTCTGCCTCCCAATGCATCTTTTCCAAACAGACTCTGCTTTACAACTAAAAGAAAGAATAGAGAGGTCTGATAGTCTCAGTTTAGGCAGAAGGCAGGGCAGAGTGACAATTTAGAGACCCTCACATTCAGACAGGCATGAGATTTTGCAGGCTACCCGAAGTAGGCTGTAGCCTCTGAAAGGTCATGTTTCTCTGAACAAGTTAGTTTGAGAGGTGCCATCCTCCCCTGCCTTCTACCTAAAAGAAATAATGTAGAAGCATTTTATATGTGAGAGTTTACTTAAGCTCAGTACTTTCACATCTCCAGTCTTTTAAAAAAGGGGTCTCATCCCAGTCGTCATTTAACAGGTGCAGTTTTGCCCTGCAATTAATTTTGGGGTCAGAACCTGGCATCCAGGCATCTAGTTATCTGATAAGTGTGCATGATCAGGCTCATTGAGCAGGGAACCCCACCTGCAGCAAGTGAGGTACTTTGACAAGGTCCATTAAGCATGGTACCCATCAGTAGAAAGTGATGGAGCATAGTAAGAATGAAAAAGCATGTGCAAGTAAATTATTTGGGGAGCCATCGTGAAAAGTAGCAGCATGTTGTTCAACTGTTGGCATTTCTATGGCAATTTAAACAATCCTTTACTGAAAAGGAGAAAAACAAAACATCTATAGTATTTCTAAGTTTCTCCATCATGGTGGAGAGCTACATAGACATGACTAGACTGGCCTATCATTTAGCAAGATGAAATGTATTACAGTGCTGCTTTGTAGTAAATACCATCTACTTAACTTCTGCAAATAGTGAGTCACATACTTCCTGAGTTTGAAATGCTTTAAATGTTAATTTTAAAAAGCAATCCATTTAAATTGAGAGACAACAGAACGCACTAGATTTCCTGTTGCTGTTTATTTTATTGCCCTCAAACATGACAGACTTTTGAAGGATCTCTGCTTTATTATCAAATAATACCTTCCTTAGTAACTGAGGTTTTCTATTATCCCTAACCTGGCTCAGAGAAAAGCAGCAAGACTCAGTTAATTTCTCAGAGGAGCAGCAGCAGAAGAGAGGCAGAGTAGAAAGAGAAAAAGGAAGAAAACCTGTGATCAGATGGAACAAAGCACAATTTCCTTCCATTTTGTGAAGGCAGCTTAATTGACCTGGCTTGAATTTTTTACCAGACTTTGGTTATAAGCTGAAATGCATAAAAACCATGACATAAAAAGAATTACAGCAAGCAGTGAGGAGGAAAAGAAACACAGTTCAAGTATAAAGCTCAATGCATCTCTTTTGAACAGCATTTGTTAATCACTAAGCTGGCAAATTTATTGTGGATGTTTGCACAGGTTGTTTTTTTCAGCCATGTCTCTCCGCAGTCTTAATCTCTCCATAGGCCACTGTTGCATCTTGTGGTACAGAATGAAGGGGAAGCAAGGGAATCTACATTCTAGCTTTTGGACACAGCCAAGGCCCTGTGGCTCTCACCAGCTATCTCACTCTCAGTAGTATTCTGATTCTTCAACTAAAAATAATGGGGCATTTGCGATGAACTTTAAACATTAAAAAAACCCAACCCTTTCCTACAAACCCGTAGAGAGTTTTCCTATATCAGAGCCAGGAAGGTAGTCCTCTACAGTTTCCAATGACATTCTGAAAGGATATCAAAGTACTTTCACTCATCTAGCATAACCTTGATTTAATAGTGAGTTTAAGGATGAGCTTAAGTCTTTTGCTGAATTGGGAGCCACCTTATGCTATCACAGCAATATGATTTGCTTTTTGGTTATCTCCTTGGCCCTTTCCTAAAGTTGAAATATTCTTATTAATCAAGCTTAAAAGTTATGCTTCATGGTTACAGAGTTAGCTTTTTGTTTGCATTGAAAGGGTTAAATCTTACTTTAATTTGGCATGAGGATACATATAAGTGATTCTATTTAAACCCAAGAGTAAGGTAGCAGAAATGTTTTAGCCTTCATATTTATTTATATATGTATTTATTTCTCAGCTGAATCTCTTTTATACCCTTTTCTTCTCAGAAGGAAAAGGTGGTAAAGTATCATATCCCAACAAAAGTCATTACCACCTAATTTTTAATAAGGCTCAAATCAAGAAGTACTAGAAGCACAGGGCAATAAATGTTACACAGCAATAAATATGCTGCAACAGAAATCAATGATCAGAGCTCCAAGTTCCATGCATGAAACATCGCACATAAAATGCTTCTTTCTAATTTTTCTCTCTCACTAATTCTCCTTGAGGTTATCTTTACTTACTGTATTTGCATTACCTTTATGTATTAGATTTCTTGAGGTAGAAACCAAATCCAATTTTATAGCTAGCATGTCGTGAATACCTTGGGCACTGAGTAAAATACAAACAAAAATATTAATCTTGGGGAGACCATGATCTTTTTAAGACCATCATCCCAATTTTCTGAAACCTAAAAAATATTAGGATGAGTTAAAATAAACTGCTACATTTGTGGATTCCTCTCTCAACCGTGCAGTTTTTCCTGACAATAGTGTGCAGTGCACAGTGCTATAGAGAAACCAGAAGCCTGATCTTCAATGCTCTGTGTTACTCTTTTGGACTATTCGATGCTAGCTGTAACTTCGCCAGTGTTGAGGGTATTTCTGCAGTGCTGCTGGCATTCCTCAGCTGACGCCAGTCCTGTTCAGGACTATTCCTGTCAGAGGAAGTTAGAGCTCATGCAAGGCAGCCCAGAGTTATGTTCTGGAGGTCATTCTCATTAAAGGGCAACAACTTGCTTTGTAGAAATACTCAGATTCCTCAAAACTGGAGGCTGCCCTTACATGTGAAGGCACCTCAGCATACTACACATGTGTACATCACGTGCAAATTCCTGCCTTTACCTAAAGCAGCTATGCAGATGATGGTGCTGGGTGATAAGCACCACCTTGCCACTATAGACCAGAATGGCAAAAGACAAGCTGAGGGATGTTGTTTATTGACCTCTGAGTGGAATAGTTGCTTAATTCATACTGGCCTACATGTGCCCCCTTTTACACACACATTGTCCCTTTGGACAGGAAAGCTGGTGTGTCTGCCACGGGTCCAACTCCTAGCCATCTATCTGACACATCCTAGGAGAAGTAGGCCCTATGGGGTTCTTGGTTTCTTTCTTGCTTCTTCAGTGCTTCTCTCTCTCTGCTGGACATGGACACATTTGCCCTGTAAGCATATATGCATGCAGTTCGCATGCAAGACAATCTGCCCTGCCACTGCTATTAACAGGTTGGAATCACTTCTCACTAGTTAAACAACATGTTGTTTGAAGCTAAACTATTGTGATTTCAATAGACTTTTTGCTGCAATAACAACCTCAATCAGCAATCAAGGTTTCCCTCTCAATTTTTGTTGCTTGCATTATGTGACAGTTTAATTCATTGTACACTAAATTCAGTTGTGCATTAATTATATGTTTCTTCACAGTAATTAACTAATCACTATGTCACTCCCTCCCTATTATGAATAACCTCATTAATTCAAGACTGAAAGCCTAGTGCCTGTTGCCATTTCTATCATTTTTTTTGTTCTTTTTGTTGCTTCTTGACTTATAATCAAATATGAAACTCATGTATTTTTAAATACTTTCTCTTCTGTTTTTCCCACTGAAAAATTCATTGTGCCATGCAGCCTTTTAAAATAATGTTTATTCATTATGCATTTCTTTGCTAGGCAATCAAAAGCTGTTACAATAAAGTGTATGACTTTGCTGTCTTTATGGCAGCACTACTGCTGTGTCAACATCTACATTTTAATCCTCAGTTTGCAGGGAATTAGAATTTTTGATGTAAAACTTTGCTCCAAGGTTAAAGTCACCATCTAACTTGCATGCAGAAGTTCAGGCTCCTTGATTATTATTTTTTTTAAAAATGCTTCGACAGATTTGGGTGACACCTGTGGGCAAAACCTTGGGGCCTAATTCAGTGACGTCCGTAAAAGCTGTGCATATGCGTATCCAAGGTCAGAAATTGACTCACAGTAGTGTCAAGTGTCTTAAGACACTTGCATATTAGAAATGTAATTTTGGGTAGTAAGACGGTCATGCCATCTAAGGCTCCAATCCAGCACAGCATTTAAGCAGGTGGCTCACTTTTATATTCAGTGGGACCATTGCTGAGCTTACAGTTAAGCAGGTGCTTAAGTACTTTGGTGAATCAGACTCTCTAAAGCAGCCCTCTTGATAACAATTTAGATGTCACACAACATATCTGAGACATCCGTCTTCTCTGTATTTCACTGAAAGACTGGAAGAACTGTATTGTAAAGGCAGCAGGATGGTGTTCGAACACTCTACAAATACCCACTGTCTGGGTTACATGGGAAATTATTCAATTTATTCATGCATACACTGGTGTTATGAGCAGTATGAGTACCTGAGCATTTTTGGTGGCATGCCGAATGTCTCCTGCAAATCTGGCACTTAACCATTTAACAAAACAAATGAATTATTTTCAAACACAGACTCAAATATTAACAAGAACTTAATGGACTGATACAAATCACTGTAGTTCCACTGAAGCTGAAAGAAATGTCCATTTATATCTGAATGTTCATTTAGAAATGTCCATTTATACCTGAGCTGGGCACTTGGCCCAACATTGCTGGGAGGACTTTTAAATTGAAAGGTAAGAGAACTCCTACCTACTAGGGATACTATGTAGGATTTATTCATCCTTTTAGAAAATCACATTCTGGGGCCAAAGAGGAAGTGTTCCCCTTTTAAAGCAAGTAAATGCAACAGGCATATAAAGATTTATGGGCTGCTCTGATTGCTTTCTGTTCTGTAAAAGAAAAAGTATCTCTATATGGCAAGGAGTAGACCTATTGAACTTGAGACACAGAGGCTGGCATGCCTGCACTGCAAC